ATCCCCCAGTTACGTGGGTTGAATAACAAACCCTCAAAAGCTAGACAAAAATGAGGATAATTTGGCAAAAACTTTATGTCATTTTGTGATGAACTGTATGCAGCTGCCTATTTGTGTAAAGGCAGCTACAAACATGTCATGTCATCTTTCTGTATAGGAACGCCATGTCTTATGACTATATAACCATATTACAATGAAAAATATATACAATGTATATAATGAATATTTGTGTGTCTTTAAAAATGGCATTAAAAGGAGATTTTGATGTAAAATTACAAGACAATTTAATCTGAAAATAAAAAGATCCTTAATTTGTCTTTATTTCAAACGTTATTTATGAAACAAACTTTTTATCTGAGAAACACTGTTAAAAGAGGTTTTGTTGAAATGGAAAATTCTTCAGATTTCATTTATCTCATGAAATGGAAATCAAAGGAAGTTAGACCTTACATATACATCCAAAGAAAAATGTTTCTGAGAAGTTCTTTCCAAATATTTCCAAAACTGCTCCTGCTAGGATCAATTTCAGATCTTCTGCTAACTAGACTTATGAACACTCAACTGATCTTATCCTTAGCTGAGCTATAAAATTGCGGTTTATATTTGCCCTGGTTACATATAATTCTGCGCTAGGAAAGCACTCTCCCTTAAGTTTCCAGGAATGACGGAGCTGCCTGGATACTTGCATAAGTGTCCTTGAAACTTATTTAGAGGTCATTGTAATATTTTAAATGCATGCGCTACCAATCAGTTTATTTGTGCCATGTGCACATGGAACTTGTGTGTGTCAGAATGCAAGACTGCGACATTGAAGGACATGGCATAATTACAGAAAAATACCACGTATCATCAAATTATTATGAACTGAAATAGCTGTCTATCAAACCAGAGGCAATAGCTAGTTCATTGTATGGAAGAATATCACACGAAACACTGTAGGAAAATTAATTCAACTTGAGTCTCGCTTTGGTAATAGAAGAGAAGATATTGATTGGAATATGACGATAGTAAAAACAAACACATATACATATAATGATAATAAATAAAGAAATAAAAATGATACCAAATGAAAACTGATTGCATGTTGCCTCCAATGAATGAATATTATCACATTCCATAGTAATATACATGGTATATCACTTTAAAAACCCCAATATCTGACTGCATGTTATAGCAGAATAGAAGTGGACAGACACATCCCATGACGATTTTATTTATTTATCATGATGAGATATGGCAGGAGCTAAATTAAATAAAAAGGCAACTGAACTTTAGAATTATTCATTCCAAGTGTAAGGAAATCAAAGAACATTAAATTCTGTCATAAAATGACTCAGCCAAACGATGAAATGAAAAGTGCATGTTCCCTTCAATACTAGATAAGCAGAGAATCTGGAATTATTTCCCTTAAGTAGAAACTTTTAACGCACGCCTGTAATTAACACATCATGTACATAGCCCATTATCAAACACCAAGCAGTAGTTAACATTTATAACACTCAAATTCATTTTTTTTTTTTGTAAAAATTTCTCCAGTACAAAAATCCTTGTATGCATTAAAAAAATTTTTTTATAGAGTTGATGTGTGTATATCGACTGGTTTTGGACAAAAAGATAATCTAAAGACTAGCATTACTCTTAAGTTAAGGCCGACATCTTACGAAATCAATGACAGCAGTACATTTAGCGATAAAAATCTTTTATATTGATTATTCAACAACATGAAAGACTCTCAAGCTACAAAACATTATCCAATTAGAAGCAGAGCTGAATCGTATTCAAAATGTGTTTCAATTTATTCCAAGACAGACATGTCGTCTAAGAATTTACTGATTAAAAACTCTAGCTAGGTCACGTATGTCAGCTGCAACAGTCGTTGCACTCAGCGAGAAAAGTACATTGCAGTGTCCACACATACATGAATTTTGTCTGCAGACATATTTACATAATAAATAAAGTCATTTACTGTCTTCTCTAGCAGGTATAAATATGAATACTTTCCTCAGAAATTTACATACTAAATCCTTGCTTTGTCTCCATGTTGTATGAGTTTCTATAATGTAAAGGAAAGATTCATTTTCATCACAATTATATGAAAACGGTTGAGAAATCATATCTTTCTACATTATAAATGTCCTTACTTGTTTGTAGGGATGTCTAAGAATTTCCGCATGTTTAGCAGGGTGGTGTTTGAATAGCAACATGATAGTCACATATTTGTTTTCACAAATTTTTTAAGATTTAACATTTGGGAGATAGTTAAAAATTCATCTGTTCTCTGTGGACGAAGTCAACTATCTTTGTAACTAACACATCTGAGCTTAACTTTGAATGTATAATTAGCATTATAAAATATAGCCAATCAGTGGAGGGTCTGATGTCACCACTTTTCAGTTTAGTTTCGCATTCTGTGTGCATGAAACAACCAAGATCAAAGTCGTACCTATTGTCATTAACTTTGGTCTTACAGCACTGTTAATAACTTTAATATGCATTTATTTAGGTCAATTCCTTGGAAAACTTATGGACTGTAATTATGTATCACAGACAATATAAATTTTGGATGGCATCTTCCTGTAGACATTTTACTGGATGCATCGACAATGAGTATTTTATGAACAGTGGTAACAACTTTAACACTTTACAAGAGAAAATCTTTTCTGGATTTTAATGAAAAGAAATGTTGAATGATCAATCATTTCAAAATTTGTTTAGTTTAATTTCATGTTATTTGAGGCCTTAAAGCTAGCATAGGGCATCATTGTACTGGATGTGGATTTAGCATTATTTTTGTATATACGCAAACAGTTCATGTTACAAAGTACTACGATGATTATTCTGTTGAAAAAGTCATGTATACTCTTTAACAATCAAAATTTCCCAGTTTTTGAAAATGCGAGGATATATTTATGCCTTTAAATGTATTCATTTCCTGTGAAACATTTTTTGCGTTATTTTCGTATTTTTAAAACTGAGTTCATAACCCAGACAATAAGTTCCAGAAATTTATCATATTTCTTACAACCAACCACGCGCTATGTTTTTTATGTGGAGAAAATCGAGCCATTGTAGGGATTTTTCTGTTCTATATTAATAAAACATGTGTGATGATTTCCTTGTGAAAGCCGTATACCATATGGAATTGACATGAAATTAAATACAGTGATATTTGAATATTCGAATACTTAATCAAAGGAATATTCCAATGATAACTTCTATCCAATTGACATCCCTACTAGCTGTTTGCTGGGATTACTGTTCGATGAACAGTCAGGGTCAATTACCTAACTAAGCACCATGCAGAAAGCCTGTCACATGCTATTCTGTGCAATTAAGGTAAAGTGTCTCGCCTTAACAAACAAAACAACACACACCAGCACAGGATGGTCTGTAATATCAGCTTTCTATAAAACACAAACTACCAAAGGAAGGGATCAAACCACACATCTTAAATATTAACCTGATCATGTGGTTGTATTTGTCCCACAGTAATTGATTGGATTTAGCACCAAAATGTACAAAAACTACAGTTATTGTCATTGTTGAGTTATTGTTATTGTCATTGTTGAGTTATTGTTATTGACATTGTTGAGTTACAGTTATTGTTGAGTTGTAGTTATTGACATTGTTGAGTTATAGCTATTGTCATTGTTGAGTTATAGCTATTGACATTGTTGAGTTATAGCTATTGGCATTATTGAGTTATAGTTATTGACATTGTTGAGTTATAGTTATTGTCATTGTTGAGTTATAGTTATTGTCATTGTTGAGTTATAGTTATTGACATTGTTGAGTTATAGTTATTGACATTGTTGAGTTATAGTTATTGTCATTGTTGAGTCATAGTTATTGACATTGTTGAGTTATAGCTATTGGCATTATTGAGTTATAGCTATTGGCATTGTTGAGTTATAGCTATTGACATTGTTGAGTTATAGCTATTGGCATTATTGAGTTATAGTTATTGACATTGTTGAGTTATAGTTATTGTCATTGTTGAGTTATAGTTATTGACATTGTTGAGTTATAGCTATTGACATTGTTGAGTTATAGTTATTGACATTGTTGAGTTGCAGTTATTGTTGAGTTACAGTTATTGAAATTGTTGAGTTATAGCTATTGACATTGTTGAGTTGTAGTTATTGACATTGTTGAGATGTAGTTATTGACATTGTTGAGTTATAGCTATTGACATTGTTGAGTTGTAGTTATTGTTGAGTTATAGTTATTGTCATTGTTGAGTTATAGTTATTGACATTGTTGAGTTATAGTTATTGTCATTGTTGAGTTATAGTTATTGACATTGTTGAGTTATAGCTATTGACATTGTTGAGTTATAGCTATTGACATTGTTGAGTTATAGTTAATGACATTGTTGAGTTATAGTTATTGTCATTGTTGAGTTGTAGTTATTGTCATTGTTGAGTTGTATTTATTATCATTGTTGAGTTATAGTTATTGTTGAGTTAAAATTATTGGCAATGTTGAGATTTCTAATCTCTGTAAAATACTGTATGACCCGAGTTTGAAATAAAGCAGAACAAATATGCAGTGATCAATCTCCTATTTATTTTCATGAGTCCCGTAATGTAAAATTTAATAATTTTCTGAAATTCCAATGGGTCGCATCAAAATTCTGTGAGTACAGGACATGGGACTCGTATGTAGATCTATCACTGAATCTATATATGTCTGAGAAAATGAACGTCTTTACGTACATCAAACATTAAACATCACACAAGAAATCAATAAAATACAAAGCTCAGAATAACACAAGCAACATTCTTTTTATAAATATGCAATTCTTTGTGATTTACTGGCTTAGCCTAGTTATCAGACAGTAGTATCTTTTTCCTCTTCTATGCATATTGCAGACGACCATATTAGCAAAGACTGACAGACCCGACATGGTGCCAACACAGACTCACTTCCCCAAGGATGCATCAAAATCACTTTACAAGTTTTGAACCAATAAACAATAGGCCATATTCTTCACTTACCATGCTCATAACAAATGTTGCCAAGGGCTCGACAAATCTGAGTGGCCAGGGTGATATCCTCCGTCGATTTCAACATGTTCAGTAACACAGGGACAAAGCCTTTATCAACGCATGCTTTTCTCACTGATTCTGAAAAATGTGAAAGGTTAACTATCATATAAAATCTGCCTCAAGGTTAAAAGAGTTGCATTGGCTTAAATATTAAACAAATTATAAGAAAAATGAATGACATTCATGGATGTTTCAAAAGAATTGAGAAAAATATTAGACGGGCTTATTATAAGACACTGGCATGTTGCCAGATAAAGACTGTAAGTGTTCTTGAGTCTGTAGCTAACTCAAAATTCTTCACACATTACTTCCATCGGTGCTTCTATTTCAAACAAAGGATTTTACACATGTAAAATTACATTTAGCAAAACTACTTGTCCAGCTTCAGAAGGTGCGATATGTACACTGGTACACATGTATTAACATCACACTGAATAATCTTTCTGTTCTGTATAAACCAGACTATAAAGGTCCCATGTGAAATCCAAAGATCTTTGTTCTGAAGAAGAAAGTACCTTAAATTCCAACAGTATTACGACAACATATATCTTTAAAAATTCTATGACAGTCAAAAATGGCTACTTTTTTAATTGTGTTCTGTAGACACATAGTTTAGTGCATCATTTATTCATAGGTATGAACATGAAAAGGAACACAAAAGATAAATGCAAAAAAAAAAAAAAAAAGCAAAAAAAAAAAAACCAGAGAAATGTCTACAAGATATGAATACCCTGGCTCCAAAGTAAACAAGGATTTTATCAGGTGCAGGACTTGATGTTACAATACTATATATAGAGTAGATATGAACCAAATCTGTTGACATGTTCTCAAGGTATAACATTGATTCTGAATGTGACAGTACCCAGCCTGATGCCCAGTTCTATGTCAGTGCGATCATGAACGTGGTGTAGACTGGATCTACGGTGGAAGCACTAATGACATCTTGTGTATATATGTTGACTGGTCACATCAGCAGTGGTTCAGGCAGGTCAATATCAAAGCACAGTCATAAACAAAACATGATGCTTCAATCCCAGCCTTAACTCTTACAATAGCTTCCCAAATTGCAATCGGTAACAATTGGTTTTCTTCCCAAAACAAGACAAAATTATCAAATTGAAGGTAATAGCCCTGCAGTATTGTGTAATGCAATGAAGGAGAAAAGAACTTATCATTGGGGAGCAGCCTGATTACAGGGAAATAAGTAGAATTCAGGGTAATTATATTGAACAGCAATAGATACAGTGGGCTTATTACCTGACAAGGGGTTGTTGCTGGTAACATAGTAACAGACCATGATGAAAATAGTACCTGTAGACTGACAAGCTGGTGAAATGTTATGCAGTTGTCATTTTCACCAGCCAAAAGTTCATCCGAGACAAATATATACACTGGTTTATGTATACAAGATGAACCCTTGACAAGTGAAGATGTGCAGTTGTACACTCATACTGCAATTAAAGGAGACTGAAAAAAAATGCCTTTCCTCAAGAGACTTCAAGACAAATTTATTCAGAAGCATACAATTTTCACTCATTATTAAAGTTTTGTTAGCATACTTACCACTTTTGGCTAATTCAGCAAGAACCATGACAACTTTGAGTTGAAGGTCTGCTGTCCCCTGTGTGAGATTTTTGTAGAGCTCTGTTAGAATACCACATTCCACAAATCCATGTGTATGGCTGTCGAGATCATCTGTTAAATAACATATAGAGTCAATGTAATTCATATTCTAGGCTTTAATAATACCATAATCTACTACACCTCTATCACCCTGCATCGCCCACACACACAACAACTTAAGAGACAAAAAGGGCAAGACAAAAGAAAACAAAAATGTAAATTTTTTTTAATCTGTAGCTTTGAAATTTTTAACGAAACATGCAATTGATGATAATAAAAACAGCACATGTATATGGAAAAAAACAGTATGTCTTTTTTTTTATTAGGATGTCAAACATGTAAGTTACTATTTACCTCCACTAAATTTCTGAAGAAAAGAGAGGACAGCATCCAGACTTGGAAGCAGATCCTCATGAGTTGTGGACAATTGTAAATTCTCTAATAGAGCTACTGCCTCAGAGTATCCTTCAGGTTCAGCTGTAATGAAGTAAAGATTAAGAGTGTTCAACCCTAGCATTGAATGTCCAATGCCGGTTTTCATAGAATTGGCTTCATACATCCCCCTACTTTCAAAACTAGCGAAAATTCTGAAATCTTCAATTATTTGTTTATTTTTGTACGCACACTCATAGCAACATAAATTGCTCAGAGGATTTTAACTTTGGGACTCATGCTTTTTCCGTGGGATTCGAAAATATTTTGAGAATCCCCTATATCTCTTTGTGACTGAACACATCCAAAGTTTGGAAATGATGTTCTGGACTCCCAGACAAAAAATTACTGAACAAAGTATTTCTAACATGCATTATCGAAAATCTTCATTAAATGTCATAAAATTCTACAGGCCATTGGTCATTGCACACTTTCTTTGTAGGCTGTTTGCTATCTGATCATCAGACAGGTATATGACCGATAAAAAAATCATGAGCAATCTATGCAATTTGAGATAAAATAGAACATATTTTTATAAATGTTATGAAATAACAATGTAACTGTGCCATGCAATTAAACACCATGACCATTCAGATTTCAGTCTTCATCTGACATTGTTAGTATCCAATATTTTTATCTCTTGTCCTTGTTTAAATTATTTACATATTAACATCATCCAACAACATTGTAATTTGTCCCTTTGAATACTTGTACATCTTTTTTTATTGCATTCAGTATTTGAAGTTAAAAATAAGATATAAAGATTACCAATATACATTTATGAACAATGAAAATCACCTGCAAATAAATTTGTTCTGATATGAACAATCTTCAAAATAAATCCAATTTTAATTTCAAATATTGTTTTTGAATATTACAGCTTATATTCACCTTCACATCTACATTTGACACTCAGATATTATGGCGAAAATTAACTGTAAATAATATAAGACAGACTCGTCTGAGTAAGCTATTATCATCACAGGTTGTAAACATTTTTTTTCAAATTGTTAGAAAGTGATGCTCCAATCACAATACCAGGGACATTTCACGTAAAACGAAATGAATTATGATTATATCATGATTGTTTACAATTTCTCCTTCTTTTGAATATGAATTTTTTAAATTTTGTTCACTCTCGAACTTCATCGTGCACCGCATCCTCACAGCATAATGAAATAACAACGGCCAGGTCAAGTGTAAAAATCAATTTCGTTTCTAATAACCCTGACTTTCAGTAAAGAAATCAAACACGCCCATGTTTTGTTCGACATCCTTACCCATTGTTGATATTGGTGTTGACGTCCTTTCCTCGCTTACTATAACAGAATACACAAAGTAAATTAGTCCGTAACAGTATCGTGGTCTATATCAACGCTGCCATGACACCGGATATCATAAAAGTACAACTTCCGCAACAAATTCACACCGTTATAATTCAGTCGTAATCTCGCGATAACACAAATGAAAGGAAGAGCAAAGCAAAATGTTTGTAGCGGTTTCTGTAAATCGCCGCTAACTTGAACTAGATTCGGTTTGTGAATTCTTCACTGTAGAAATGGAACAAGTCGGTATTGTCCTTAACCAGCACGTCTTGTGAACTCGCTTCACGAGAAAAGTACATGCACATTAATAATTAAAAAATGATAAAACATGCTAAACAAGTGATTTCCTGCTTCTATATTTAGGAAACCTATGGTCCCTAAATTTAGACATTTGAAACCCGACTGGGCCTTGGATCATTTCCGAAAATTTTTAATTTGACATTTATTATTTTCAAAAAGATTCTTGAATCGTCGTTCGTATATATACATGTGATTGTAAATGTTTATATTGATTCATGGTTTAAGTATAGACTTTTCCTCATAAACGCTGAGAGACTTCTATTTTTAGAACCGGGCACCCCCTACGGCAAAGTGATGTGTATTTCGTTTCCTGGCACGAATCGGGATTATCCCCGACGGGTTTGAAGCGTATATTTCATGGCGGTTTCGGTGAACTCGGGATGTCTTTCACTGTAGTTTTGAAGGGTGGGCCACCCTGGGGATTTAGAATCCAGGGTGGATTAGAGTATGAGGAACCCATAAAAATAGCGAAGGTAAGTAAAAATTAATTTTATGGTGAAAGATTGAACTTGTTGCAGTTAAAAAAAAGTTGGTGCCGTGTGTTCCTATACCAACCTCTTGAGACCTAGAGAGTTCCAACTTCAAAACCGGAATTCCAGAGGAACTTCGGTGAGCAATAATCATCAATGAAATATTTCATGACTACGGACAAAATTTATTATGTTTATGTGTTATGTAGATATCGAGGTTTTGCATTTATTAAGCATATTTTATCATGTGTTTTAAACTTTGTTGGGGGACGAACACAATTTGACGGTTCAGTAATCATGCTTGGATCAGCTTCCCTGTAACAGCTGTGGAGTTCTGAAGTCCGCAGCCAAACTCTATCCTCTTGTCTGTAGTTTTCTTCAGTCGACGGCCGACAGTTATCACAAGAATTCTAATAAACTTTGCATCTCACTATAATTATGTAAATTAAATAATGTTAAAGTTCAAAGTGATTTAAATTAATAAAAAAACCCCCATTTTTTTTTGTAAAATAGTAAAATCAAAATATGAAAGCAACTTCAGATCATTTGATGAATAGATTTATTATTAATTGATATATTTTATCCTTGTGACTCTGCAGTGATATTGATTGTAATCTTTTCATGAGCTGTACTATAACAGCTTGAGGGTAATCAACTGGGGAATATTTTAAATGTTGAAATGTTTTGGACACTTACATGGTATTTAGGGAGCAAATTAGTAATTAACTATCTAAGACTGTTATCAAATTTAACCATCAGGTTGTGTATAGTGGGGAATTGAACTGTACACATCAAGTATAAAGGAGATAGCAGATGGTTATCTCCTCGACTTTTGTAGATAAATTGTGGTTCATACGTCCTAAATTGAAAAATAAAAAGATCAACGTATCAGCATACGTGAAAATGATGTTATCATAAAATTGGTTCATGATTAAATTAGATTATTAGTTATTTCAGTTTGCATCTTACAACTGAATTTAAAATTCTGTCTGGACAAGTTTTGTACTTGTAAAAAATTACTGCTATAGATTCTCTCTTCAATATCATTGAAATATGATGATTTTTGATATGAATTTATATCCTGTAAATACTTTCGAATTTTTACCTTTTGATGTTTAAAACATGCAAGGATTACAATGACGCCAAATAGTTACAGAAATAAAAAAGTCCTGAGGTGTTAGCAATTGTAGTGCAGTTAACATGTACTTTGAGAACACCCTAACTGACTTTACTATTCATGAAATATTCTTTAAATGTTTGAAATTAAGAACTAGCTCAAGTGATATAGTTTAACCTGAAAGTTTAAATACCTATTTGATGGCATTTATATATACAGCCTATGTGGTAAAGATGGATAGGAAGCCCTTATTTAAAGGCCTTCTTGAAGACTGCTTTTAGCTAAATACCTCTGCGAAGACCTTTCCTACAGGAATGATTTCGTAGAAGATTCTGTATATTATATATCAAAAGTTAAGCAGTGACCTATATAATTAAGTTCGACCACTTTGATTTTAAGATACTCGACCCATATGGTAAATGATCCTAATTTTCTGTTTAGTTATAGGGTAATTGCCAGAAACAGGCACATGTATATGGTGTTTGGGGTGCCTACGGCAGTCATTATACATCTATATTGATTATACAGACAGGTGCTTAGGGTAGTCATACATCTGTAATGATTATACAGACAGGTGCCAAGGACAGTCATACATCTGTAATGATTATACAGACAGGTGCCAAGGACAGCCATACACATGTAATGATTATACAGATAGGTGCCTACAACAGTCATACAACTGCAGTGATTATACCCAGAAGATACTTGTGAAAAGCCTCTCATTCTGACCAAAAGTATTGAAAGTGCTTGATACAGTAACTGTTATCAAATTTAAGTTATTGTATTTGAGAGCCCACACAAATGAAGTTCTAACTTGTTGCCACTAGCCTAAGTGCTGGTAACACTGTATAGTTTAGATTTATCATGGAATGCACCAGTTTCTGGGATAGACAGACAGCTATTAGTACAGATGAATGTGATCTGGTGGAACATTCTGTACATGTAGCCTGGATAATGACGTTCATTCTTGATATCTGATGAAAGGATTCAAGTTGTTCCTAACCGTCGCTGACAGCCCAAACATTCCTGGGTGTATGTAGGGCGTTTGGTGTATATAGGTACAATGTGTTTACTACTTAATCAGGAAAGACCAACTGATTTACTTATACAATGAAATTAGTAAAAAAAAGTCTTTCAGTGAAGTAAAATATCAAGGTCTTAATTGCATCTTATTTTGGTTCAGTTGACTTTGGTATATCCGATGTCAATGAAAATGGGATAATCAAATTAAGAGATGTTATTCTTTTGGAAAGAAGTTGATGAAAAAGATATTAAGATTACAAAACTCACTGTATGATCTTAAGAATGTTGGGGGTATGGTTATTTCAGGACAATAATATTCAATAGTAATTCTGCTAAACATTTAAAACTAGTATAAGTTTGAGCGGGCTTATTACTGAGCATAGTCTTATTATGGGATAAATGCTGTCACACCTGTTATCAGACATTTAAATTCAATCTTACGGGTAAGGCAATATTTCATTAAAAGAGAAAACATAGAAATAGTGTGTGAGAATGATATAAGATTTTGTATGTACTGTCATGACAAGCAACCATTATTTATGTATTGTTATCACAATGAAGTTCTTCAGGAAATTAATTAAATACCCAGGGTGCTAAGTATGGGCAATACGGTATGGGCTTACACCAAATCTACATAGATCTATAAATTTCATTGTGTCTTATAGGAACTTTCAAATCCCATATGTAAATTCCTACTGGTAAACATGGTCTTTAATTTCATGTCTATCAATGAAGGAAAATATGTTTACAGGGGTGTTTCATTTGCATAGTATATAGAATTGCATATACCATAGCACATTATTTCATCATTGTGTCTCTATGCATACACTTATTCTACTATTAAGTCAATCCAGCTGTGAAATGTCATTTTAAATTGAGATTGGTGAGGATTTCACAATTTAGATATAATTGTGGAGTTGGCAGCGGATACATATTTAGATACTGCATGCGGATTCTGTCTTCAGTATTACCAACAACATATTTGACATCTGTGAACTACAGAACGTTATATTCAGTAGTTACACATACCTTCCAAGTCACTGCACGGAATTGTGACTTTCAGCTTCGGACTGGAGATAACAATTACAATTATCAGGAGGGTTTTAGCTCATGCTTATGGCATTCAGCTATGTCTGTTGTCCATCATTTTGTTTGTGATCTTTTTTCTAATTTTATAAATCACAGCTGGTTGTGAACAACTGAGCAGAAGTTGACAAAATTTGGTCAGAAGCATTCAATGGGGAAGGGAACTCAAATTCGTTCGAGTGATAAGGTCAGAGGGGCAGAGCTCTATGGGAAATTTGGCAAACTCTAAAATCCTTCTTTTTTAATTTGGTCTGAAGCATCCTTCGGTTAAGGATTTTAAAAATTTTATTTCAACAGTGGATCTTGGCCCCCTAGGGTGAGAGGAGTGGGTCCAATAGGGAAATAATAACAGATTATACTTCTTCTGTAGAAATGCCTAGATGCTGTCCCAGTTTGTTAGAAAGCATCCTTTAGGTTGGGTGAAGGTGAATCAATTGTTTGAATTGTGTAACTGGTGGGTCTTGTTCACTTTCGACAGTAGGGGCATGGCCCATTTTGGAAATACAGCAAATTCTTTATAATCTTTCTTCTGGAGCATTGTCTGGATTCTGTTCTAGTTTGGTCTAAAGCATTTTATGGTGAAGGGGAATCAATTTTATGTAAATGATAGTGTCTTATTTCTCTAGGGCAGGAGGGACAGAACAAAATAGGGGAAATAAACAAAATTCTTTAGAATCCCTCTTCTTCTGTACTTCTGCATGGATTATGTTCAAATCTGGTTTGAAACATTGTTTGGTAAAGGGGAGATCTATCATGTATACATAATGGGCCTCAGGCCCTGGTTCTAGAGCATTCTGAGTGAAGAGGAATCCATTGTATATCAATGGTGGGTCTCAGCCTCCTGGGGCTGGTCATAATGTAGGAAATAATGCAAGTTCTTTTAACTCCTTCTTTCATAGAAATACCTTGATTCTGTCCCCATTTGGTCTGAAGTATCCTAGCTAGGGTAAATGAAAACCAATTCTTTTCAAATAATTGGTCTTGACCACTGATCTCGACTCGACTCAAAAGGGGCAATGTAGCAATTAACACCTTCTTATACTGTAGGAAGGATTTTTTTATTATTAGTATTTTTTTTTAGGTCTGAAGCATCCTTTGGCAAAGTAAACTCAGTTTTGTATAGATAGTGCATTTGATCCCCTAAAGGACAGAGGGGCAATCTTTAAAATGCTTTTCATTTAGTTTAGATGAAGCAAATTTATTGAACTTAACCAGGTGAGCAATACAAAACCTATGGGCCTCTTGTTTAATTATTAAATATTTTGATGCAAGTTCATTTGATTGATAAACTCAAAATAATACTATGGTAGTGAATTTTGTAGAATATCTGTGATGTATAATTTAATTTGTATCTATTAAGAACAACCAACAATTTTCACATCTGGTAACTTCTGGTTTAGCTTTATGATGAATTTGAAAGTTTTGATCAGGAATAATATGCCATAAAACAAAGGTCAAAATGTATTCAGTTTCCGCTTGCGACTTTTCTGTTGTTTAGCCATTCAGAACTCCGACCTACTGAGGATGATGATAGAAACAGTTACTGGACGGAACAAGCTATAGATTTGTTTTCTGTCTTGTACGCTGTCGGTCACAATTGGATGTGCCATAATAAGCTCGGGGAGGCAACGTTAAATTACTCATAACCTTGAGCTCTGACACAATGTCAGACGATGGGCTTAAAACTGATTTTCAATCGTACTTTTATACAGCTGGCCCAAACTATTCAGAATAACTATCGGGCATTAGAAATGTTAAGTAGATTTATAGTGAAGCT